ATCCTGACTGGTATAGTCATCTTATATTCATTATTGAATCACGGTGACTTTGAAATGGGTTGGTAGGAAAAACAAAGGCGATGGGAAGAATTGGGACAGGAGATATGGAAAACTGCCCTGACATGGGTAGGGTTAGCCAACTCTGTGGGGCACGAACCGACTGAAGATCAGATTGTACTGCTGCTAACTGACATGATCAGGGTTACTGGGAATAACCGTGGTTATTACAGTATCATGTTAATGTATCAGGTTAATACGTGTACCATACCTGTTCCTCAACAGGCTTACTGTGTCAGTCTTACTAATCTTATATAGGTGGATAAGTTGGAGCACAAAGAAGGCTTTAGGTCACATAGCCCATATGACACGAAGCCAGGTTTCCAACTCAGACCTGGCTGCTGAGGTAACATCAAATGCTCATAGCCCTATATAGCATAGCTACTGACCCTGCAGAAGCTCACGGCCCCGGAACTGCTGTGATTTAAGGGCAAGATGGTGTCAAACACTTAGACAATCACTGGCATCTAGAGATGGATTTCAGCTGCTGTGTCCAGGAAAGGGACCAGGGCATCAGACAACTGTTAAGACCCCTCAGAGAAGACTTGTGAGCCTCAAGACAGAAGCAGATGACCAGCTGGGGAGACCAGGAACACACGATGGAGGCTGGAAACCAGGAAAGACATAAAGACCCTCTAGTGACAAAAGACTGTAAATTTAGCGTGCAACATACTAGAGGAATGGTGACACCAGGTCTCCCTGCCAGTGGGATGCCCACCCCCCCACTGTCCCATCTACTTGGTTAATAAAAAAAAAAAAATCTGGCCCTGTGGCCAAGATCTCTCTAGACCTGCCCAGGGTGTGGCTAAGAAAGGCACCAAGATAGAATAGGAGAGATCCTTGCCCTCGACAAGACAGAATAAGAGCTATATGATCTGTGCTCTCTGGATAACAGGGAAAAAGCATAGATAGTATTTTTTTTTTTTTTTTTTGCCAATCCCAATTCAACTGTTTAGCAGCTCTGACTTTGACTGAGAGATCTTATCTGCTCCTCAGCTTTGTGGTCTGTAAAATGGAGTCCGATTCTACTCCCACATGACTGTTAACTGAAATTTTAGAAGGCACAGAAAGAACCATGCATAGCAGACGATGGCTAACAGGAACCTGGTATTTCTCCCTCCTCTCTCTTCAGAGAGGAGGCCGTATAGCTCTCTCTAGAGAGACAAGACAGGCTTCACAGAGACAACAAGGCTTAACTCTCAGACCTAACGTGACTGAGGATGGGGCAGTCTAGAGAGAGAAGAGCTTGGACAAAGACCTGAGTCTGAGGAGCCACTCTCCTGAACAGACCTTAAGAGGGCTAAGAGGATAGAAGGCACGGCATCTGTTTTCAGGAGCGTGGTCTGTCACCTGTCGGCCTGGCAGCAACCTTCCTGTGATGTCCACATCCTCCGCTCACTAGCCGTGTTAGCCGCATGGTCATCAGCTCAGACCCCAGCTGCCGAGAGTCAGTGCAACAGTGCAACAGCTTGTCGGGAGGTGGGGTGCAGCGAGGCCCCTGTGAGAGATCTCATTCTGAATGGAAAGACTGGAGGAGACAGATTGGCTGGCCCCTGGTCAGACTGCAGGATGGAAGTCTTTTATCACTGAAATGAAGGGCTTCCCCGGGAAGGGAAGAGATGGCTTCTGTCAATGAGATGTGTTTCCCACTGACTCTGGAGCAGAGGATGCTACTTCAAGCCACAGAGGGACAGTCCATGTGGACATTAGCCAGGTGGACCTGAATGTGAAAGTCAGTGATTTATTCCAAGGCATTTTATCACTGTGGCATTTAATCACCTATATAAACATATGTTGAACCAAATTACATCATGGATGCTATAAACATGGAGGCAGGAAGTGCACTAAATCCCCAGGTTTCAGGGGAAAGAGCAGCAGGGTTTGATTAGGGCCTGGTTCAGAGGTATGGCATGTGGGGGAGGACGGGGAAGTGGGGCGGGCCACAGAAGTGTGGCAGACTTTGAACTTGAAAGTTCCATGATGAATCTGGTCACCCAGCCTTGCAGAGGACTTCCCTGCTTTTGGCTCCTGCTTGCATCCTGTACACGCCCACATCCATGTCTCTAGGCCCTCTTTCATTCAAATATTTACCTAATTTTCTCTGTGGGCTACAGTAGGCCAAGACACACAGAAGGGAGCAAAACCACAGTGTCTTCACTCCACGGAGCCAGAGTTAGGTCCTAGGCAAATCTTTACATAGATACGCACATCCTTAAGTACTATGGAAGAGAATATTTGGGAACAGAAGATAGTCAAGAAGTCCAAGACATTCCTGATTTCCAGACCTATTCATTTGTTTCAACACATCATTTTGAGTAGCTTCTCATGGTATTGAGTTAGGTAGACACTGCTGTTTGTATTGAGGACACAGTGTTGTGTATCCAGCTGCCTGTTGCGGGAGCTCCTTCTGCTCCTTCAGCCTGTAGCCGCTGAGAGACCACGCCCCAGTGGGCTGGAATCTCTCAGCGGCTATTGCCTGAAGGAGCGGAAGGAGCTACCCAACATGACACAGTGCACTGAAAAGTCCATCTGACCCTGCATACAAGGGGCGAAGTCCAAAGTTTTCCCACGTACGAAAGGCTCTTCAGAATTGGACTCTGGAGCTGCTCCAGCCTTGGCTACAGAAGTCCCCACAGCTGATGCCTTCATTCTTGGGCTGACATGATTCATCATATCTCCAGAGATTTGCCTGACTTTCTTTTCTCTACCTAGAATGCCGTTCCTGACGTGTGTGCCACCCACCTGTGCCTTTCTTAGTACCCTAAGAGCCAGTGAAACGCTGTCTCTCTGTTGACTGACCACTGCATGAGGCCTTTGCTCCCACAGGCCCCTCCACATCGTCTCATAATGCAGCTGTCCCATGGAACTGGGTCTGTTTGTAGCCTCGAGTCAGCCATCCACCCATGCTAGTAGTACACCCGAGGTCTTCAAAGGCTGCTTCCCAACTGTCCCCAATCTAGGCATCACAACATCTGCCGCAGTCTTCCTTCTATGAGACAGTTCCTCTTCACAATGACCAGAGCCCACAGGGTCGTGGGATGAGCTTCATTGCTGCTGCTGCTGAGGGGCCATGGTGATCACACCCATGTTCTTGCACGAAGTACGACTTTCCACACATGAATTCGCTGTGTTCCTGGACAAGTGGGGGGCAGGCACTGACTCCCCCTATGAATGAGAAGGAATGTGAAAGTCTCACTGAGGGGTTGCCTGCCTGGAACCCAGCTGTTCTCACACAGGGCGCCTGCTTTTCACTGTTGTGATGGGATACATAGGACTGTCTGGATGCCGCTCCGTCCACCAACCTGCCTTTGTTCCTTTACCCCTGTCTGTCCACCCCCCCACCCACACACACATATGGGGTCTTCAAGACCAGGACCTGCTTCTTATTTTGGCAGGGAGAGGTTTGGAGATAGGGTTTCTCTGTGTACCCTTGACTGTCCTGTACAGAGCCAGTTCTGTAGACCAGGCTGGTCTCAAACTCACAGAGATCTGCTTGCCTCTGCCTCCCAAGTGCTGGGATTAAAGGCATGCACCACCACCTGACAGGACCAGCTCTTCATTCACTCCCTTCCCCTGTGCCCAGCTCACAAGTGTGTTCCTTTCAGGTGAGACCTCATTCCGATGAGTTAGTCATCTGTTCTTTCTCCAGGGCTATGTGTCTTCTCAGTCAGCATCCTTGACAGCCAAGCCCAGGAGAGACAGGATGGGTTGAGGGCCACAGAAAGGTGGGCTGTGCGATCCTTTTCAAGTAGCTGGAATGCAAACTGCCAGCCATTTCCAGATCTCTTCCAAATGCTTGGCTTCTACTCAGCCCAGACCATGGAAATATAATAATGTTTCGGGCAGCTTCAAGGCAACCATCCGGCTATGTGCCTGCCTCCAGCACAGGGGGGACATTTTAGCATCCGGTCCAATGTCCAAATCTGTCTATTTGGCCACAACTGTGCATCTTTCCTTCATGTGCAAATTGCACTGGGCTCTGGGAATAACAGTAAATTGGCCTCCTTCTGGCTAAAGTCACATATCAGACCTGGAGAGCGGAAGGGTACCCAGTCCTTCACCACTGTGCTGCAGGCCCCGCCAGCAGCCTTGGCTCTGTGGAGCTGAAGCATTTCTGATCTGATGATCTCGCTCTGTACTCGGTGTCTTGACCATCTGTCAGCGATGCAGATGCCACACTGTGCTGGTTAACTTGAACAAGGGGTTGGGGAACAGGGCACTGAGCTAGAAAAAGTGGAACTTTTTTTTTAAAAAGTGAGTTAGAAAAGCCTATTTTTGGTGTACCCATAAAGGTTGTAGAGAGTGGGAATAGAAAATTCATCCATTATAGGTAAGCATGGTGGAGATTTTTATCCATCCATTGGTTTTATGATTGAGCCAGCCTTCCCCAGATACTACTAGAGAGAGCAGGGAGCTGCTCTATCTGTCTATCTGTCAGCATGCAATTATAAGAACTGAGATTTCCCTTGATGTTCGACAAAGGGAATTTCATACAGAGAACTGGCCCAACTCTGAAAGCCACAAGAAAACCAGAGGCTAAGTAAAAGCTAGAAGTCAGGAGCCTGGAGGTGTCAACACAAAATGAGGTTCATCAGTCTGAGATCTGGAAACATCCAGGGAAGACCAGAACCACGTGGCTGTTAGCCTGCATCCCTCCCCAGGGTTCCTAGAGAAGAGGGAGCCCGGCTTCTCCCTTTCTCCTCCTCCAGTCTCCTGGCAGTGCCTCCTACTCACCAAGCCAAGGCGGGGCTCAACTGACAAAGGGATCTGGGATTAGCAGCCTCAGGTGACCAGGGAGGTATCTGTTGGACCAAAGGGCTCAGGGCGGGGTGAAGAACTGCTGGAGGGTGACAGAGTAGAATGCAGGCCCACGTGATGACAACATTGCAAAAGAAGCACGAGAGCCAATCAAACAAACAGAACTAAACAGTCGAAACAGGGCAGCAAGGTCTTTCTGTGAATGAGGAGGAGTCAGGACAGAGGGTTGGAGAGGAACTCGCTTGAATCTGAGGGAAGCCATATCATTTGAATGAAGCCAGGGAAAGCAGAGAAAACGGAGGGGGACTGCATCAAAGCTTTCTGGTAAGAGCTTGGTCTCCCCAGGGGAAGAGAGAACTTCAGCCTGGTAAGAGGGTGAGAGTGTGTGTGTGTGTGTACACATGTGGCTTGTATATGTGGGAATGCTTGTATGTGCAGGGTTTTGAATGGTACTCAGAGTTCAGACAAAGCCTGAAGTTCTGCTGCAAAGGGTTGAAAGGGGTGATACAAGATACTCTGATCCCAACCCACCTCCTTCTATTCTTCTATTAAACAAAGAAAATCTACATTTCATCTTAAATATCCACACTTTAATATTTACCCTGGATACCCAGGATTCAAGATATGCTTGTACCTCTTCACAGACAATTGTCTATGTTACTCTATCTAAGGGGGAAAACCTTTGTTTAGAGATAGATTGTCTTTGGAAACCTTTACAGGAGACAGGAATCCCCAAACAGATGCATAGTGTATCAGAGGACTGTACTTTGGGGGTGAAACTATGGTAAGAAAATCTAAGCTGTAGTGTAAAGACTCTTGGGGGGCATATGAAGATCCCCCTCTAGGTGACTGCTCCCAGAGGCGGCTCTTAGAGTATCTAAATAAACTGCTTAAAAAATGGTCTGATGACCTCATGATTGAGCACCCTATGATTTCCCCTAGCTGGACACCACCCTTCATGTCTACACAGTGCCTTGCACTTAAAACACAAAAATCAAAAGATACACAAATTGAGGGAGAAGGAAAGAAGAATCAAAGAGGTATTTATTTTTTAGGAGAATTTCTTTCAAAAGCCGTACACTATCAAGAGAGATGGGGAGTCAATATCTGAACATAGTTTAAGAAGTCAACATGTGAGGGTATTTTAGGAAACTCACCATTGGCGGTGGGGAGGTTGCAAACCATACCACCCAGTTAACTAAAAGGTTCCCAAAAGATGATTCAGAGTGGTTGAAAAATAACAGCCACCATCCACCCCTACAGCCTGTTTCCTGATGTAAGAAAATGCATCATTTCATATCCCAACTGTAGCTGACATTTTTGGTATCCTCTTCCTCCTACTTACCTGTAGTGGTCTGAATATGAATGTCCCCAGATAAGCTCATTAGTCACCAGGAGTGGTGGTATTAGTGAAAGGATTAGGAGGACTAGGAGGTGTGGCCTTGTCGGAGGAAGTGTTTCACTGGGGATGGGTTTTGAGATTCCAAAAGTCCACATCAAGTCCAACTTTCTCTCCCCTCCCTCCCTCCCTCCCTCCCTCCCTCCCTCCCTCCCTCCCTTCCCCCCTCTCTTTACCTATGGATCAGGATGGAGAATTCTCAGCTACGTCTCCAGCACCATGTCTGTCTGCATGCTGCATGATCCCCACCATGATGATGATGCACTAACGTCCAAGACTGTAAGCAAGCCCCCAATTAAATGCTTTCTTTTATAAGAGTTGCCTTGGTCAATGATAGAACAGTGACTAAGGCATTACAATTTTTTTCTGTCAAAAATGTATCTTTAAAAAAAATTCCTTCTTTCTAAAATGTATTATCTCATTCTTGGTCTGTGTGATTTAAGTAAATCTGACTTCAGATTTGAGTCTTGATCGTTTCAGGAGTAAGCATGTCATGTAAGTCAGTCTAATCGGAGGAATCACGGGATTCAAGGTACCCGGGAGGGGGGGTTCTCTGCTCTCAAAACAGGTTAGGACTCTGTAACAGCATATGGATTCAATAAGATGGAAATCATGTCTAGTACTGGAGACCTAGCCAACCACTCAGGGCTAATGAAGTCATGGATCTCCAAGGAAAACCTGCCATTGCGACTTTTCTAAGCCAGCATAATTCTTAACTCCATTATAAACATTGGTCCTTACATACACAGATAAGTATAGTTTTCATTTCTCACCAAGGAAACTCCTTGTCGCAACAAATGGAGAACGTTACAGAACATCACAATGATTGGAATGCACAGGTATGGCGCTTAGCCCCGGCAGATACATCTACAATGTAACTCCCACACGTAAGAGCACTTATACTGAATGGCCAGCCATGAAAACATATAACATTATACAGACTGAGCAGGTTGTAGTGATGTATTTAGGAATATGCGTGTGTGAGAGAGATACTTTTACTTACTTACATGTGTGTATTTGCTAAATGACAATTTAGAAAAAGGCCATGAACTGAGAAAGCAAGGAGGGGTATATAAGAGGGTTTGGAGGGACAGAGGCAGGGGAAGGGGTGGGGGGATGATGTAGTTCTACCATAATCTCAAAAAGAAAATAAATTCTTGAGAAGAAGAGTAGAGCTCACTTTTCCTTCTGTGATCCTGATATCCGGGAATGCTCCATTGCCATTGGTGTGGATACACACAGAGTGAAAGCCATCAGCGGGTGCTCGAGGGTTAGGTCAGGAAGGGCTACAGTTCTGCCCCATCTGGAACTGTCGCTTAGGTCCCCAGCTACCTACGAAGAAATAGTCTCTCCAGGGACTGCTGTACCCAGGGAGGGCCTTGCCAGGATCCTGCCGTCAACAGGTTGTCAGTGGATCCAGGGGTCTAAGCCGAGCACCACAGCCGTCCCTGTCTCCCCACTTTCCTGAGCCACTCCTGCGTACACCTTCACACTGAGTCATCCCCTCAATACCTTGCCGCCCTGCTCCTATGACAGTCAATTTGCATTTCCTTCCTCTGTGTCTTCTGAAGAAACTCCCAGCTTCCCTGACATTTGATAGAACCAGGGAAGCTGTTCCTGGTAATGTATATGAGGAATAGATCATTTACTTACTCTCAAAGCAGATGGACTTTATAAGAAGAAGTACTCTGTAACGCAGACATGGCTGGGAAGAATAAATCAAATATTTCTGTGTACTTAGGGGAAAAGGAATTATTTAAATGTAGCCTCCAGCTCCAGGTCCATTTACGGAACATGCAATTCTAGACCTTGACCACCAGGGGGAGAGCTAGGCCTATCTCTACACTGCTTCTATTTTTAGAGACTGATCCTTGCCTCAAGGAAAAAAACCAAAGATCTAAGATTATAATACTTTTTTTTTTAAAAAAAAATCGGACCAACTTATAAATTATTTGTGAGTCCAATAAAAGGCAATTATCAACATTTCCTACTATTTCAAGAGTAATATATTCTATGTTAGAAAAAGATTCAATTTATTCCTTGGCTATGGTTCAGGTGACAGGAACTGCAACCAAAAGACACTGTTCTGGCGGAAAGCTGGATGCTTGGGAGAGTGCTTGCAATAATAGAAAAAACCATTGTCTTCAAAGCTCCCCTCCTGTCTTCCCAGCCACTTGGGCAAACCATGCTCTTGCTAAGTACAGAGGTACGGCAGAATAGGTCTTGTACGAACAAAACCATGTCTGTGGCATTCTGGGACCACGGAAATCCAAACAGACTAAACAACTGGAATCTGAAGAACTTGGAGGTGAGAGGCATTAGGTACAATTTGCAGACACGTTGCACACTTCTGGAACTCTAGGGGGTCAAGGTAGAGGCCCAGAATCGAGGAAAAGTGGATGGTTCTGCAAGGAAGGAGCCGGACACAAGGTTTACCGTGAAGTCGCGAGGTGGGGGCAGCTCAGGCCCCATAGAAAGGGGTTTGGCCATTCATCTCAGCTCGCCCTTACTTCTCTGTGTGTGAGTATGCGTGTTGATCTGACCATGTTCAACCCTCAGGCCTCACGTTCATCTCTGAAGCCCATTCTCCACTTCCTCCCCTGCCTCTCCACCCACCTTCCTCAGCCTTTCTCTATGCCCAGGAAGGCTGAGACAGAAGAACCATGGCCTGGACGGTGGCGTCAGGTTCCAGCTGGAAAGCCCCAGTGTGAGGTCCCAAGGTGAAGGAAGATGGCCACAGCATCTCTCCCGCCCTCCTCTCAATGTGCTGTGGATCATACACAGTCCCTGTATCTCCTTGCACTTCCCAGTGCCTTGACTTTGGACTGTGCCCAAAACACCTCTGGTGGTAATGGTTCCTTCTCTCCCTCCCTGGTCATGATCTCATCTCACTGGCTTCCTCCACCCAGTCCACACCTCCCCAAAAGGTCCTGTTCCTAACCATTCCCCATTTGAATCTTGTGTGTGAACTATTTTCCACCAAGGCCCGACTTGTATATTATCTTGTTGTAAATACTTATTTATTGTCTTATTTCAAAAAGGAACTTTCAAATGTTTAATGATATACTAAGTGGAAATCTTGTGAGTTTTAATCATGAGAAAGCAAGCAGAAAGGTATAACCTGGAAGTAATGGGAAAACAAAGACAGTTGCCTGATGCCGCAGCCTCTCCACGAGCGTCGGCAAGACACAAACAGAGCCCCTTGTTTTCCCAGTGCCCAGATAAAGCATAGCATCAATTCAGTTCAGAGTCTATAAAACACAACTAACCCAATTACCATGCACACATCCACCCGCGTGGAGCCGGGAGCTTTGGCAGCGCCTCTTTGTTATAATGAAGGGCCTTGTGTAGATAGCACCAGGAGGAAGAGGCACACTGGAGGGGCTGGCTGTGCAGTTGCTCTTGGCAAAAGGGACAGAAGGTGCCCCCTGGGAATCCTAGAATAGTATCCCATGCCTCCCACCAAGGCAGCTGCAGGCAGCAAGTCTAGTGGTATCAGCTGCGATGCTTGCTGGACCTACACCCAGTACCCACGATTGGCATAGCCAACCAGCAGTTTATTGGCATCTCTCTGCCTCTCTTTCTGCCAACCCTCAGCCTCCTTCAATGCCTCTAGTCCTCCTCAGTGCTCTAGTTACTCGGGTTTTCACTCCGTCATGATTTTGTCTGCAGACAATCCCAGGTTGCTGAGGGCGCCCATTCTACCTAAGGGCCACTTTCTGAATAGCCGACCTCCCTTCTGCATCTAATAACTGGATTGTCCCGTGTCCTCAGAGGGCGCCATGGCTAGCCACTTGTCATTATGTAGAACTGACCGTGTGTGGCTACAATGACAACAGCCTTGGGTAAGGTTGCCTACCCTGATGTGACTGATGGAACAGAAGTGCTCACTGCTCCTCATGGTGGCACAGAGGCTGGTAGTATGGGCAGTGGGTTTCCTCTGGCAAAGGAACACTGACCCATGTGCACTGAACATTTGGACTCCAGAAACAGGGCGTTATCCTTTTCATAAAGACGGCTGCATGGCGAGAAGGCCTGCTGATTTTACTTGACTAAGGTTCCCTAGACATCTCCCCATGGCTCAGCTCTCTGTAAAGGCTGGTCTACTCCAGTCTCGACCGCAGGACCCAGACCGGGGGGGGGGGGGTGGTGAGGGGTGTCTGCAGAGCAAAAGTTGGAAACAAGAAAAGTAACCAGTATGACTCAGCACAGCCCCTGCAATGAGCTGAGCCACCGGCTCAGGACCTGGGTGGGGAGAGCCCTGGGTGGAGTCCTCAGAGGATGCTAGCTGAATACAGTTGGAAGTCTGGAGAATGAGTTCCTCTGGGAAGGACTTCCCCAGAGAGTTCAGCAGAGATTCATGATGGCTGAACTAAGGTCCTAATTCTGCCGCATAGCCATGGATGCCCTAGGACAACCTGACAACTGCGCTTGCTTCTGAGGCTATGAAATGTGGACAGGGAGCTCTGCCTTAAGGAGCTGTGGTGTGAAATCATGTCCCCACGCTGAGGAATTACGGAGTTTTATGATGACAATTGTTGTGGCGTGGGGCCTCCGAGGGGAAGTGGGATGGGGGCTGAGGCTGCTAACCTGTTTTCTAACATTTGCACCATGACTTGGGCTCCCAACAACTTGAGAGAAAAGCGATCCTTCGGAGCAATCCCTGGAAGCCAAGTTACCCATGATGAGGCAGCCAGGGCAGCTCAGGAAGCCGGGGCGTTCGACAAGCAGAGGCCAGGGCTGTGTTCATGCCTGTGCTTCCTGCAACCTCACTTGGCTGTGGGTTGAATAATCTATTGTGAGGCCCAGATTTGAAAATAAATTTTTTAAAAAGGCAGCCATACAAGGACAGATAACAGTTCTCCCCAGGGGCACAGCAGGCTGGAAAGGGTTTTCTTGCGTGAAGGCACCAGGACGGCTCAGTCCATCATAGCGTAACCCCTGCCTCTGAAAATCCTGGCGGGGTGAGGGGAAACCCAGGCAACCTTGACCTCCTAGTCCAGTGCACTGGTTCTTACAAACCCCCACCCCACACCCATGCTTCTCTGAGAGCTTTTGTTCAGGTGAGGATGGAGTTCCACCAGTACTGTCCAGTCGGGGAAGGCCATAGAAGGCAGCTTAAGCCTGGTCTTTTTTCTTTCTTCTTCTTCTTTTTTTTTTTTTTTATTTTTTTTTCTGGCTGGGGGAAGATGCTGTTCCTCTTCAGCCTAAGGGGCCATCTCTCTGGCAGGAAGGAGGGAGCCCCTACTCAGCTTTGCTGCCAGGGCAGGCAGAGGCTG